AAAAACAGGCAGGCTGCCTTGCTGGTCCATGGAGGCAAAGGCCAAGGGACCATGTGACTGAAAGACTAAGAACCAGAGATAGCCCTGGCTACCACATGGCTGAGAGGCTGAGAACTGGACAGAGATTTGATGGCTGGTTGAGAAAACCAATGATTGTCTCCTCATTGTTTGTGGATCCTGGCTTGTGGTAACCTATTAACTTCTCTAATAAATCCCCTTCATTGTGAGTATTGTCTGTGGGTTCTGGATGGCAAGTGCAATGAGTTATTGATCCTAGTGTAGCACCGTGTGCGAGGAACAGTTGGTGTCAGAAAAGATAAAGAAGGATGGACCATGCCTTGTGGCTAGGAAGCCAGAGGAGGTCAGGTATGTCCACCTCCATTGCCGTTTACCGCAGCAGGAAATAGAAGGAGGAAGTAGGATGTGCTATAGGATGCGTTGGCGGGATTGTGAAGGATGAGTTAAATTAGAATGTTTGACTTGTTAAATGCAAAACTGTGATTCATTGCCTGTGACGCTTCACCTAATTCAAAATAAAAAGTTAAAAAGAAAATTATCAAAACAACCAGCTAATTTATATCATAAGGAATTAGAAGAGAAAAGCAACCTAAAACCAAAGGTAGGAGAAGGAAGAAAATAAGAAAGATTGAAGTGTGGAAATAAATAGTAGGGAAGGATAAATCAAAACAATAAAAAAACAATGAAATAAAAAGGTTGTTCTCCAAAAAGATCAACAAAATTGACAAGCTTTTAGCTCTGCTGACAAAGGAAAAAGAATAAGATATGAATGACTAAAATTAGAAATGAGACATTACTACTAATCTTATAAAAATAAAAGGGATTATGAGAGACTACTATAATAAATTTGTTAAAAACTTAGCATAGATGAAATGAGAAAGTCACTACAAATGTATAAACTACCTAAACTGATTAAAGAATAAATTCAAAAATTGAACAAACCTATCACAAGCACGGAGCTGTTGGAATTCAAGCCAGATGTGTTTGTATGGGTGGACTAGAGAAACAAATCCAGGGAGACTCATATGTGTATAAGAAAGAGCTTTATATAAAGAGTAGTTGTATATTAAGAGAACATTCCAGCCCAGTCCAGATCAAGTCCATAAGTCCAATATTACCCCTTATGTAGATACTCGTCCATAAATTCCTTTTTAGACTCACACAGCCATGCAATGATGCTGAATGCAGGAAGATCGCAGGCCAGTTGGTGGAAAGTCTTGTGGATCCAGTGATGGTGGAAGCATCTCAGTGCTGGTATGAGTCTCCACGTGACCTCCAGTGAGCTATTTATCTCCTTTGCACCTCCAAATGAGGTCAAGCTGTTACCTGATTGACAGGCTAGACTCCACCCCTTCACAAGTCGACAGGAGATTACGTAACTGCCACACCAGATTCAACAGAGGACATGGAACAACAACATCATTGCTGATGTCCGATGGATCTTGGATGAAAGTAGAGAATACCAGAAAGATGTTTACTTGTGTTTCATTTACTATGCAAAGGTATTCTACTACGTGGATTGTAACAAACCATGGATAGGAATGGGCAATTGCAAAGGATGAGAATTCCAGGACATCTAACTGTCCTCATGCTGAACCTGGACATAGACCAAGAGGCAGTTGTTTGAACAGAACAAATGGAGCCTGTGTGGGTTGAAATCAGTAAAGGTGTATGTAAGGCTTGTGTCCTTTCACCATACCTATTCAATTTTTATGCTGAGCAAGTAATTCGTGAAGCTGAACTATTTGCAGAATTCAACATCAAGATTAGAAGAAGGTGCATTAACAACCTGTAACATGCAGGTGACACAATTTTGTTAATTTCAAACCAAGATGACTTGAGGCACTTACTGATGAATATCAAAGTCTACAGTCTGTAGTATGGATTACAATTTAATGTAAAAATGAGCAAAATCCTCACAACTGGACTAGTAGATAATGTCATGATAAATGGAGAGAAGATTGATGCTGTCAAATATTTCATTTCACTTAGATCGCCAATCACTATCCATGGAAGCAGCAGTCAAGAAATCAAGTGAAATATTGCGTTGGGCAAATCTGTTGCTTAAGATCTATTTAAAGCAGTAAAGAGTAGAGATGTTACTTTCAGAGCTACAGTGTGTCTGACCCTAGCCATGGTATATTCGAATGCCTCATATGCGGGTGAAAACTGGCTAATAAATAAGGAAAACTGGAGAAGAACTGGTGAATTCACATTATGGTGCTAGCAAAGAGTATTGAAAGTACACACACTGTGAGAAGAACAAATGAATCTCCCTTGAAGGAAGTACAACCAAATGCTCCTCACGTAGAAGGATGGTGACACTTCATCTCATGCCCTTTGGATATGTTCCCAGGAGAGAACAGTCCTTAAAAAGGACATCGTGATTGGTAAAGTTAAGGATCAATGAAAAAGAGGAAGACCCTTACCGAGATAGATCGTGACAGTGGCTGCATGGGCTCAGGCGTGGGAACGATTATGAGGATGGTACAGGACTGTGCAGTCTTTTGTTCTGTTGTGCATAGGATGGCTATGGGTCGGAACTGAATCAAGGGCACCCAACAACAACAACAACAACAACAAGATCTCTACTGAGTAAATCTTGAGTAATACACATGGCAAAGAGCATCGTAAAGAACAGTGTTAAAACTCATTTTCAACAACAGTTGGTTGATATACAAAGAGCAATACCCTTGACCAAGCAATAAGACCACACTACACTAGGTCATCCAGCCTCCTGGTTTCTCTTTTTCTGTTTCTGATTACTGTGATTATATTGTTGAGGGCAGGGAAACTAAATTTGCATTGGGAGACCAGCCAAACTAAGGCAGTCATATTTCAGAGACTCTTACTCACTAGATGAATAAGACCATTTAACTCTTTAATGATGATTGTACTTGCTTACTCCTTAAAAGGGTGCTTACAGTTTTATAAATGTGTGTCAGTTCATACTTACAGCACTGTGACGTTGCTATTAGGTGCTTGTGGAGTGGCATTGCCCTATCTAGCAATGACAGAACAGCTCTGTAGGCTTTCTCATCTTTATAGAACAGTTGTTAGTTTGGTTGTTGAGCTTTTTTCCCCCTGGAGCCATAGAACTCATTGTCAACCAGTCAATTCTAACTGTGCATCTATACCCCTGAACCCCAAACTCACTGCCATTGAGTTGGTGCTGACTCAAAGCCACCCCCTGTGGTTTTCTGAGACTGGCACTGTTGGCAGAGGAGGAAGCCCCAGTCTTTCTCTGTGGAGCTGCTGGTAGTTTCCAATCGCTGACCAAGCAGATGGCAGCCAAGGGTCAGAGTAAAACTGCCTCTTTAGATTCCAAGGCTGTGAATCTATACAGGAGCAGAAAGCCTCATCTTCAGAGCCACTGGGTGGGTTCTAAATGCCAACTATTTGGTTTTCACCACCAGGGTTCTTTACCTTATAATAGTATATGATTCAATGGAGTATTATATATTATTCTTTGAAGAAAATGTTACAGTCTCATATAACTGAACTATTTTGGGGTATACTGTCCATGTGTAGCAAGAAGTGGTTTGTACTCAAAAAGGAAACCTTGCGATAACCTTGACCACCACTTTTGCCATTTGCCTTACACACTGCATACAACGGAATTGATTACTCATTTCAATCTATCAACCAAGTGTTAGCTATGCATTACATAATTCTATGAAGCATATTCCTAATCACGTGTCAGTTTTTTTTCAGTTCTAAAAATCATGCATACTTAAGAAAAAAACCTAAGACATAAAAATTAGTAGACAAAAATTCGGTTGTAATTCCACTTTCCTTTTTAAAATAATAGTAATTTATGTAGGAAATTTAGTTAAAAGGTGTATCGGGTTTTCAAATATTATAAAAGGGGAGAAGGCCATACTGGTCTTTTAAGTCAACTATAATATCCATTGAGCTCTGTTCAGTCTTGATGTGTGATGTAGCGAAATGGCTCCCCTCTGGGAACGAAAGCTTCCCTTGCTACTAAGGCAGTTCTCAGGTTAATTATTAAATATGGACATGTTTGGAGTTCAACGCGTCTTCCAGAGCTTCTTGTGGCTGCTCACTTCACTGATTGGGACTGCACCAGTGGCTAAAACAAGCGTGCCAGAAGCAAAGAGTGGAGGGAGGCCGTTTGCAAAGCCAGAAATCTCAAGTTGAGACCATTCCTAATCAGTAAGGGCTGCTGAAAGGAAACAGTCTGAACCCTTGGTGTCCATTGTCAAGAGCATACAGTCATTGCTCGTCTCTATGCCCTTGGCAGCCAGTTCGCTGTAGCTGCCGGTGAGCAACGAGGGCGCCGTAAGTCGCCGCAGTAGTGTGCGCCGAGGCAGCGCGCTCCTCTGGGGAAGCAGCGAGCCCAGCTCCGATGGCCTACTCTCACCCGGATGAGACTGGAATCCTTCCGGCTTCCGTCCGCTTCCGCTCTCCCAGGTGCAGCGTGGATCCCTCCGCCGCGGCGTGCGCTCCCGGGAGCGCTGGGGTCGGCTTGTCTGCAATACCCGGATGGAAGCATAATGGCCGCCATCAGGGACTCGCAGGCAATGGGGACCACGACAGGTATTTCCCACCAACGGGGCCGCTCAGACTGCAGAGCATCCCGGGAATTCGAGAATACCAGCGAAAGGGCAAGTGGGGGGTGTTTGCGAGGCTTCACGGTTCCCCGAAAAGTCTCAAAAAGAATCGCCTTGGGTGAGAGGAAGCTCCGGTTAAATAGTCCCGGCTCTTCGGTGCTTCCGCCTAACTTGCCGCAAAGTTTTTCTAGAGAAGTCGGGCTTTTCAGCCGGTGCTTTTGCGGGCTGCCGGGCTCGACCGTCTCTCCTTAGCGCGGGCTTTCAATGCGTAGGGGCGTTTCTGGACCTCGCTCTTGTAACGAAGGCTATGCGAGGAAGGAGGACGCGGACGCGGTGTGCTTCCGCGCGCCCGAGGGGCGCCCGCGCGCGCGCGGAGGAAGGGGCGGGGCGCGCGGCGCTGGGCGTGGGGCGCGCGGCCCTCGAAGCGCTTACGCGGCGGAATCTTGGGCTGGTGGACGCTCCCTGGGCATCCCTCAGACGGCACCCCCGAATTGTAGGTTCTGAGGCCCCCGCGGCCCCGCTCGACGGCGTCGCTCTTGTGGGCCTGGTTCTGCTCTTTGGGGGCCAACTCTTGAAGCCAAGACACCCAGTTCTCTCGCGTGCGCTCGCCTCCCAAGAGTTGGCCGTCGCTGGTCTCTGCACCCCCCCCCCCCAAACCACACCCAGTCGCAGATCGCTTGCTTGTCCCTGGCTTGTTCATCTTGAATCTGCTTTTAATATGGTGTCCTCGTTGTTAGCTAGACAGCGTCTTTGTAGATGACATGTCTCTGATCATTGAAAAGATGTAGAGCGAATGCATACCCGATGAGGTGTTATAACTCTTTTAAGTAGACCAGCAAAACGGATAAGGTAGCTAGCTGTAAGGTTCAATACAAAAGTTAAGGTCCAGTCTTTTTTTTGAGGGGGGGCGGGGGGGGGGTTGTTGTTGTTTGTTTTATTTTAAATTTAGAGTTATTTGGTGTTTGTGAGTTATTGCAGAAAAGAAAGTTATTGAGTGCATTAAGTCTTAAGTCAGAAAACTAAAATATGGGTCATTGTATAAGGGATTCAGAAGAATATTGAATTTTGTGATTAGGCATGAAGACACCAAACTCCATCAGGACAGGATCGCAAAATTTAAAACTGAGAAAATGCTCCAACTTTATTGATAATGCTGAATTGCTTTTTCTGCAGCAAAGGTTCTATTTTGGGTATGTGTGATTAGGTAGAAACCATTTACATTGTTTCATTGAAATTCCCAAACGTTTTCAGTGTTTAACTGCTAATTTGTACAAATAGATTCATTATCTTTCAGCAAAATTTTATCTGAAATTGTAATGGTGCCAGAACATTTCATGGGCCTGGTAAGCATAGTAGACCAAGTAGCAAAGAAGTTAATTCTTATTCCAGACCATGTGCATTTTTGGTAAAACAAACAAAAGTTAGGGGGAAAGGCAAAATGTACATCTCTAAATTGAAATTTTCCTTATTTTGGCAGTGACAATTTAAAACATTTTGTTGTCGTTTTATGAGGGAGCAAAAGGACAGCAACCCTAAGGAACACGTACAGTATGCCCTGATAACAGATTACCAGCTACTACTTATTAAACTTCTTCCCAATTATGTCCTCTCTGGTAATCATTGGATGCAGTGAACTAAACAAATTCTGTATGGGTTTTAGCATAAATTTACAGTTTGACCTTTAAAATCTTTTAAATTTTTATTGTTTGTTTTCTATTTGTACTTGTTTGTAATTGGTCTTACTGAAGCATTGTGCACCACAGAGCACTTGCTACAACTTTTTTTTTTTCCTTTGCTGTTAAAAGACGTGCTTCTTGATCAGGTTCCTTCAGGTACTCTATATGGTTGTTAGCAAAAATATAAGCTGAGAAAGAGTTATAGTGAAGTTGGTAGTTCTTTTGGTCATTTGGTCATTTTGGTCAAGATTCAGGTTATTGAGTCAATGCATTCCTTAGCTAGAGATTGGCCTCAAGTGATGAGTCGTTTGCAGGGGAATGGTAGACATTGAACTGAGAATTAAAGAGGTAGCCTGGTGGTTTTAGGATAATGGATGGGATTAGACCTAGATTATTGTCATAGGCTTGGGTCTTATCCTATTTTGTCATAAATGAAGGTATGGATTTAGAGATTTAATTTAAATTCTCTTCTGAGCTTGGAGTTTCGTGACTTGTAAATTTATGGCATGCTATCTCTGGGTGTCAGTGATACTTTATTTGTCTAGGTGTTGATACGTTTTTCTTGGCTTATTTTAATCACTTTAAACATTTAAGTTGAATATGAAATGTAAGAGAATCAAAATATAAGAATATTGATTTTTTTTTCAGTCAAAGTTTTAAAATCTTGGTCTTCATTTCCAGATACCATCTCTTCTTGTGATCGTTATTCCTGATTGTGGCATTGTCTAAACATTAAATTGTATCCTTTTTGCTGTCGGGAGAAAAGGTATGATAAAGATTGAAGCACTGTTATATATAGTGTCTTACATAGTAAGTTAGTATACTTTAATATTGCATAACATAAAATAGTTACATGTTCATGAGGTTTCACAAGTTAAAGTTTTACTTATGGGCTAAACAAAATACAGTACGTAGAGGCTTAATTTTAATGTAAGCAAGAAAGTGATTCTTGGCTTCATAGTTTATTGTTTTAACATTTTATTGGTGACATAAAGGTGATTTTACTCTGTCAGTCCTTCTAGATGCAAAGATGGCAATAGGGTTTCTAAGTTTTGAATGATAGAGATAAATAAGGTAGGAAGATGTTTTGGAGTTGTATAAACAGCTAGAAATATGCTTTGGTCTAGTAAGCCCAAAGCAATGCACTTAAAGAAACATTTCTGTGGTATATACTTATGTTATCATTAGTAGGATCTACTTTTTAAGTCAGAAAGGGGGCTTGGAAATTAAAGGGTCATGACTGGTTTCCTGGAGATAAATAACTGACACAAGGAAACGAGAACAAAAACTAACAAATCCATGTATAAAAAGAAAAGGTTTGGATATTCAATGGAAAATACTACATCTTTGAGCAAAAACCTGGCTTACAAACCCTTGAAAGACAAATGCCCCTTGATTTTTTGGGGGTAGGATAGGCCCTGTGATCTTTCAAATATATAAATTCTTGAATTGGTATCATATTACTCCTTACTGAGTACATTAAGCATACCTATAAGTATGACCATAAATTAGGAATGAAATTATATACCTAACTATGGAAACAACACAGGTAGACTACACACTTCACATTAGTAATCATAATCATGTCTTTTCACACTGAATTTTACTAGTAGTTAACTGTCTTTTTGTTGTTGTTGAGAATATCCACCCAGCAAATCAAACATCAATTCCAGTAGTTTCTACCAGTATCTTTCAGTGACGTCGACTACGTTTTTTGAGCTGTGCAGCGCTTCACTCTCCTCTGAGTTGTTCCTCACACATTAACATACATACACTGCTCCCCAAGTTTCCTCAGCTAATATTTTGAATTGCTGTTATCATTTTAATCGTTGATAGATCTTAAAAGAGCATCATGCTCAAGGCACACTTTACTAGTTAAGATAAACCATTGTTTGGTTTAAGGACCAAACCAAAATCACTGCCATGGGGTCAAGTCTGACTCATAGCTACCCCATAAGACAGGGTAGAACTGCCCCTGTGGGCTTCTGAGACGATAATTCTTTATGGGAGTAGAGTGCCTCATTGTTCTGCCTGGAGTGTCTGGTGGTTTTGAACTGTTGGCCTGGTAGTTAGCAAGCCCAACATAAACCCATTATGCCACACTTCCCAAAAAACTCACATCATTCAGTCCTGTTTGACTCCTAGCAACCCTATAGGACAGAGTAGAACTGCCCTTGTGGGTTTCTAAGATTGTAAATCTTTATGGGAGTTGGAAGTGTTATCAGCTGGTGGGTCCACCTGCTGGCCTTGGGGTTACATGCCCACCTTGTAACCCATTGTGTCACCAGGGCTCCTTGCAAGATGACTAGGGAACATTTTTTGTTTAAGACTTAATCTCAGAGCAGTACTTTCAGGGGTCAGCCAGCCTTGACTCCAAGATGTCTGGCATCCAGGAGAATATGAAACTATTTTTAACCTTTTCCCCCTTTGATAAGGGGTTTTGAAATCTTTGGTTAAAATATTCAGTAATGGTAGCCAGGCACTAGTCTTCTCTTCTGGTCTTTTGGCTGGTAGCCTTCTGTTCCTGATTCTCCCTCCACTATGGTTTTCTGTGAATAGAGACTGATTTTTGTGCCTTCTGCAGCTGCTTACAAGACCCCAGCTAGCAGGTGGAACAGAGGCACTAACATGTTATTAGGCCAATTAACTCGATGCCCCATCAAACCTAAAGTTCCAAGCCAAGAAACCAAATCCCATGAGGTTTTTGGTTGTACATAATCAAGTTTGCTTTCTTTTTTAAGGCACTTTTTCAGAAAGACATTAAAATTTTTCGTTAGAAATATTTAACAATGACAATGACTAGAGAAAAACAAAGGTGAATTGAGATACTATGTTATACATGCTCATTTATCTTAGCAACTTCTTTCTATGTAACATTTTCTTGGTCTCTTACCATGTGAGTGTCACATGGATGTTATGCTGTGATAATAGAAAGTACATGGTGAGATTTCCTATACTATGTTTGATTCAAACTATACAGAGAAAGTAACATGGTGAAGAACGAAAGCTTTAATTAAATGTAATGAAGTAAATGTTGTTAGGTGCCATTGAGTGTTTTAATTCATAGCCAGATGGCAGAGTAGAATTGTCCAACAGGGTTTTCTTGCCTAAGATCTGTAGACAAGTTGTACAGTGGTATAGTGCTTTACTGTAACTGAAAGGTCAGTAGCTTGAACCCACCCAGTGGCTCTGTAGGAGAAAAGACATGGCGATCTGCGCCGGTAGATTTTGGCTTAAGAAATTTTTCCTTTGCCATAGGATCGACACAGTCACTAAAACCATGGCCTTAGTGGGCACGATTGTGCAGGACTCGATTGTCTTTTGTTCTGTTATACATAGAATTCCTTTAATCTGTTCCCCCAGCTGCTTTTAAGTGCCATTCCTTCAGGGTTTCTGTGTAGGCGGCAATCCACCAGTCATACCATACACTGAAGATTACCTAGTGACTGACTGGCCTGAATGAATGTGCTTACATTGGAGAGTTGCTCCTAGTACAGGTTAGGGTCTGTCTAGACGAGCAACAGCCACCACCAAGCCATTAATATCTGCAGAGTTTCTGGAATAACATCAGGAAGGCTGCGCCTGCCAAGGACCCTCTTCGCAAGTGACCCTTCAGCTTAGTGGCTTGATATTTGGCTCCTTGTGCTGCCCTGCCAAGTCATCAAGCCCCCTTCATGTCCATACAGTCCACCTTCTTTCCTGTTTTTACTGTCTACTCCAAAGTCAACCTTACTTCCAATTAGGGACCAGAAGCCGAGCCATTGCTTTCTTTGCCTTCACTCTCAGATCTACTGTCTGTGTAAGAAGGTGCTCCTGCCAGCCTTATGACGGCAGCAAACAGTTCTAGCAAATAAGGTGTATATCTTTTATTTCAGCGTTTGCCCGCTCATGACTTGTTCCAGTGTTCCTAATAGCAAGCACCTCTTCCTCTCTTCCAGGGAGTGGTAATAAACTATGGCCATCTTAATGACAACTTGCACTGCCTGCTCAGGGAGCCACCAATTAGGCTGTGTCTTAATCCCTCTAGGTACCATGGACTCTATGCCAGCAGCACCCCAAACCCTTGTGGTCCATTCTTAGGGTGGTGTGAAGGAACCCCAGAGATCTCAGATCTCAGCACTTCTGACACCCTCATGACAAACTGACAAATTCTGGTGGTGGTTTTGTTTCCTTTGAAACACAAAAACATGTAAGTATATATAATGTGATAGGGGAGGGTGATGAAAAATTAGCTTTAGCATGTATAGACTTAGATATTTTGTCATTGGACATTAAAAAAGGTGGGGGCGGGGCTTGACCAACTTCATTCTGGGTTGGGGGAAATGAAGCCACTTAGTGGCTCAGGTGAACAACAATCTTCACAGAAACAGATGATCAGGTCTTCAGTGGAGCCATTGAGTGGGTTGAAATCACAAACCTACTGTTTGTAGCTGAATGCTTAACAGTCTGCACCAAAAGGCTCATAATGATGTAACTAAGAGGTTGCTGTACATATGACTGACCGGAATGATTTGGATAATTCTATTTTGGATGATTATGAGAGAAGTGTGGTAGTTATATAATCGTTTGTCAATTTGAGAGGATTAAGAGTGAAGGGGTGGAGTCTAGTCTGTCAATCAGGTCATAGCCAATGAGGCCTCTGTGTGGGCATGGCTTTCTCCTGAGGATTCTGGAAACTCCGGTAATTCCTCTTTGGATGCGGGAGACACTCTCTCTCTGCTCACTCCTTGGGGGACATTGTGGGTGATAAGACACATGGAACTATGCTAGTGTCCTGAGCTGTAAGAACCACGTGAAGACCCCTGTCAGTGCTGAGATGCTTACAACACCATTGAATCCACAAGACTTCCCACCCACTGGCCTGTGATCTTCCTGCAGTTGGCATCATTGCATGTGTTTCCTGAATCTAAAGAGGAATTTATAGTTTGGTATTGGACATATGGGCTAATACTGGACTTATGGACTTGATCTGGACTGGACTGGGATGTTTTCTCAATATTCAGTTGCTCTTGTATATAAAGCTCTTTCTTATACACATATGAATGTCTATAAATTTCTCTGGTCTACCCAGACTACCACAAGAAGCTTGACTAACAACAAATCGCCATTGGTACAGTCTTATGAAACGTGTAACTTGAAGCTTCGCACAATTGAATTTTACTTTTGTTTAAGTGTTTTTGCTTACCTTCTTTTCTCATAGCCATTTATCTCACCTTTATCTTTGAAATATAACCAAAATTTGACAAGCTTTTCTATAAAAGACCAGATATTTTAGGCTTTGCAGGTCATGTGGTCTCTATTGTAGCTGTCAGCTGCTGTTGTAGCACAAAATCAGCCAAAGATAGAATGTAAATGGTAACTGTGCCTCTGTTCCAATAAAACTTAATTTGTAAAATAGGTTAGACTTAATGGGGTGTTCTATAAGCTCTCGCACATCTGCCCACCTGCCAGCATCCTGTTTTTTTAGTTAATGGAGTTACGCTGCTTCATTCTAAAGTCAGTTGGTTTTTAAAAAAATTTGTTTAGTAGATCCTGTCCCTTCTACCCTATTGAAGGGCATTATTTCTGCATTTCTTTCTGACCATATTTTCCCACATTTTTACTTCATTATTTCAGTAATATGCCGTCACACTGTAATTTCCACCATTAAAAACAACAAAATGTACTTCCACTCTGTTTCTTGCTCCTTTACAGTAAAACTCATGAAAATGCTGTTGATGTTACACTCTACTTTTTAACTTCCTAAAAACAACAAAATGCACTTCC